ATAAGTAAATATGTATAGTCAGTGTCAAATGTAAGTGTACACCTTGTTCTAATGTAATATCAACAATTATTTTCACGAACAATTTTTTCAATTAATTATTTATGAAAATATAGTACATTAACCACATAAATCAAAGTTTCACACTTTACATAAAGTTCAAAAAATTTAAACATTTTTATTCAGTATTACTGGAAAATTTTAGAGTATGCAGTATTGTAGCTGATTCAATTTTAGTAAAATTAAGTGCAGGGGTCAAGTCGCTAGAAATTATTTTTTTTTTTAAGTCAAATTTGCCAAACATTTTTGTAAACTTGAAATAAATGTCATTTCCTGTTAATAAACAAACCGCTTATCCAAATAAAACAAGTTTGGTGTCAAATGAAAGCGGACAATTTTTGCTCAAGTTCAGTTAAAAAAAAAAAACTAACTGTTATTTTCGGTCCCTGTACAAAACCGCATACTCGAAATATTTCTAGAAATTCTGAACAAAAATTTTGAAATTTTGATGTACTTTGATTGAATTTTTTTGAACTTTATATAAAGTGTGAAACTTTGATTTATATGGTTACTGTTATAGAATGAACCATGATAAAAACATTACAAGGTAAAATCATTGAGAGGCAGTCTGACGTTTGCCAGCAATATAATTTTAAAATTCGAGCTCAAGCTCACACACACATTCCTTCCTATTTTTAATGTCAAACAGCAACAATTGTGAACAATTTCTTTTTTTTATTTGCAGTTTTATATGATTTTAAAATGCTTGCAAACGTCCGAAAAAAATCATGGCCGACGAATTGAGAGAATGATTTTACCTTCTAATGTTTTTATCATGGAATGAACTATATTTTCATAAATAATTAATACAACATTTTTTCTTAAATATGATTGTGAATATTGCATTCGAACAAGGTGTACACTTACATACATATCACACTGACTGTACGTATAAAAAAAAAAATGTGTGGTTTTGAATATGTCATGTCATGAACCGATATCTTTGCTTAAGTTTACGGCCTTTTGTGAATGTTTAATAGATATTAAAAATCTTAGAACTCACGTTGGCTCTAATATAAATGTGAACGTAATCGCTTCTAATGCTTATAATATTTGACTTGGCGCTCTCTTTATTTAACCAAAACAAAAATTTATAATGCATTGTATTAGTGATTTATTTCTTCTTTAGTGGCATTTTAACCGCTTAAGCGATTTTGGCCGATCTCAGCATAGGGCGCTTGCAGTTTCTGTTTCTTAATAACTGAGTACGAATACCAGATAGATACACTAAGTGAAGTAAGGGAGTCTCCATAATCAGCTCATACGCTGACGATTGCTTGATAATGGCGTCCGGCAATAGAATTGACGAACTATGGTCAAAGGTAAACGGTTACCTCTCCAAACTTTCTCGCTTCTCCACTGCTAGCAGTCTAACTCCCTCCCTTACGAAATCCTCACCTTACCTCTCCAAACTTTCTCGCTTCTCCACTGCTAGCAGTCTAACTCCCTCCCTTACGAAATCCTCAGCAATTCTTCTCACCACCTGGACGAAAGAGCTCATTGTGTTCGCCATCGACGTGAATACCCAGTGTAGTTCACATCGATGGCGAACACTGTAACAACCCAAAAATAATGCGTAAATAACAGCATTTGTCAATAAATTACAGAGCCGCAACAAAGTCTTCAAATCGCCAGCCGGTAGCACCTTGGACAAACATCAAGAAACGATGTTGGCTTCAACTGCCTCAGTATACCCGCACCATACTCTGGCTACTGCAGCAGACCAGTCCCGTACCTGAGCAGTGCAAATTCTGACGCAATTAATGTACATATGCTCGGCATCTGAAGGGTCACCGAGCAACTCAAAACATGTCTTAACATGCCTAAAAAGCCAACTCATCTAACGCCCCACTCCTTTTGATGCAACCCAGTCGGAGTGACACGTGACAGCGATTGGGGGATAAACCGATCTAGGAAGGGCTAAGTTAGCCCCAACTACAGCAACAACAATTGAGTGAAGCCAAATCTCTTTTCAATACAGTTTTATAACCAAACAAACATCAGCGTGGTTGATATTAGAAAATCATTGCTGAAAATAATGTTTACATCACTTGTTTATATCACTTTGATTCTTTTGGCAGGACGTCATGATAAGGCACATAAAAAGTGCGATGGTCATGTTGGCTATGAAAGAAACAAAATCGTCTTCTACTCATTATCAACGGTCACCTTCGCCCAGTAGTGCAGACACTTGAAACCTAGCTACTAACGACTTACACGTGCAACCTAACTCCCGCCATCTACCAACTTCCCTGCCATAAACACTCAGGAGAATCGCGGCTTTAGCAGTCGTATCAAAGGCTTTGGGACCCGTTTGCCATTCCACGTTGCTGAAGCACATTGAGGCATCCTCGCTAACACAGGGACTAAAACGGTAAAAGGCGAATTACCTGAGTTGTCGACAGTAGAGCTCGAGTCGGCTCATCCGTCGACGTTGTCGTCTGGTTCAGCTGAGGGGAGGCCCAGCAAGTGCGCAACTTCCACAGAATCTGTCCATAGGGACAGGGACGTTACCTGGGTGCGGCTTTGGGGGCATGCGAAGAAGCGCCGTGAGTCATGTGGCGACTCTCCGCATGCTGGGCACTGGTGTGGTACATCTTCGTTCACTCTGTTCTGATACGAGTTCAGCCTGATGCAGTAGGAGAGCGAAGTTAGGCTATGGTGGTACGGGTCTCCCGAGGCAGACAAAATTCTGTCCCGTCCACATCACGTGGTTGTGTGTACACAACGGAATTCACAAGTCGAGAGTCTATATAAGTCGATTCCGACTCCCTGTGAATGCCGTTCAAGGCCTGTCGGTATGCAGTTGGATCCAGAGGTTGTTTTATGAACCTCTGTACTTCGTCTGTCAGTTCGTAGAGATGCCTCCTGACGTGCCTTGGCGAGGGCTCTTCTGCTAGCAGTTGTCTGTTCGGGTGCCCGCGTCTGCATTGTGTTATGCTTCTTAATGGGCAGCATGTGGGCTTCGTCGGGCAGGTGTTGTTGCGGCGACATCAGAAGGCACCCAATCGCGGTCCGAAGTGCCGTGTTCTGGCAAGTCTGTAGCTTCGTCCACTTCGTCCTGCGACCAAACGGGCCCTGCATAATTTAGAACCGGCAGGCCAATTGCCTTATATGTTGCCAAAAACGTTTCGGGTCGCACTGGGTGGTGTCGTTTTCCAGCTGGGGACCGCTCACTCTGCCACCGGAAGGAGTTTCTCGCATCTAATACACTGATGTTGGCGTTCGGCGAATGGCATTCATAACCTGTGTTTGGAAGTACTGCACTGCTTGGAACCTGACCCTCTCCACTGCAAAATCAATGGCCACAATTTTTACCACCTGACGAATGAATATTTTATGGGTTATCTTTGACAGCTTTCTCTCCTTCTTATCACACACAATTGCAATTGCGCCCATATGGCCCGGACAGCTTAAACAACACATTCACGGCGAGGCCTTAATGCTCAGGCCAAATGTATCTTGTAACCTAATATGTGGTTTCCATTGCCTATCGACCGTGAAATGGCTCGACTAATGTTTTGGACCTGACTGCAATTTTGTTCCCAACCCATAGCACATACCAACCTGGTGAGAGCCTTTGCGGCCCTCCTAAATTCGAAAGCTGCTTTGGCAAAGTTTTTGTTACACTGTAAACTGTGACTGTTTAATATTGGGAAATTTTTGAGCATTCCATAATCGGTATTAATTAATGGTGTTTTCGTTTCTACTAAAAAATGTCCCCGAAATCACTACAAGTCTTTAAAGAATAAAAATCCTTCTGATCGGAGTAATTATTTTCACTCAAGGGTACTCTGAAAGGCCTATTTCTGAACCTGTATCCGGCTGTTGCGGCCAATTACACCCGAGGCTTCTAATGAAACCTCAAGTTGGGAAGTGTAGAGCGGTATACCGGCAAAAGCTTTCACACAAGCTGAGTTTTTGGTTGCCGGACATCTGCAGCTTTTCTCAAGCTGAATTAAACACAACCAACGAAGATGCTAGGTGGCTGATTGATTTTTCCCTTAACGACACAATAGCTATCTTCTCTGATAGTCACGACAGCTATTAAAGCACTTGAGTGTGACAAATCCATAACGAGAATGCTCATGGAGTTTTGTTCTCGTTAAAATTCAACACCTCTACATACATCATTCTGATTATAGTAGCAACGATATCTCTGGTTTCATCCTACACATTAGTCCTTTCAGCATCATAAGTCTTACGTTTCTAAAAAATCCCTGAACATTTTACGAACTGAAGTCCTTTACGGGTCCTAGTACGTGGTCGCATTGTGAATACAGGTACATTGGCTACTTTTCAGTCGTGAAATAGACATTTTGCCAAATATGTATGTATCTGAAATTGCTCTTATGTCTCGGATGGATACTTATGCATCTAGAAATGCGTAAAACTGCAACAAACGTTTTTGTGAAGTTTCAACATAATCAATTACAATGGATCTAGGATTAATATGTGTATGTAAAAATATTTTATTAAANTCCAATAACTATGTACATATGTGAAATTTAAAACTTCAACCAAGGCCGAATTTTCATGGAATATTTTTGCATACTCACTTTACATGTTTTGTATGTACTTACTGTAGCGGTCATATTACTAACACCCCAATTTCAAAGTGCTATTGCTTGCCGTTTATGTTTATTTATTTATTCTTAAGAATTTTAAATTAAATACAGCTCATTCTCTAACAAAACCCATATGAGCCAAAGTTTAAAACTTTATAGGAAATTAAAAGAAAATATATATATATAGCCCATTCCATTTTAGTGTATTGATATGCAAGTTGCACGTGACTAGAAATTACCGTTTATTT